ATGCCACAGGACCAGGCAGTGTTTTGTTCTTGTGCACAGGGCTGCTATGAGCAGGAGCTGACTCGGCCCCTAATAACAGCAGTAACATCAGTACCTAATGCAATATGTCATTTGATTCCTTGACTGTGGCTCCCCTGAGTGTTGATGGCTGATACAATCAAAATGAAGTCTTTGATAACTTCAATCTTTTCTCCATTTATCATGATGTTATTTATTGGTCCAGTGATGAGTTTTGTCATCTTTACACTGAGATGCAATCCATACTGAAGACTGTATGATCTTCTATGTCTTTGTAATTCATCAGTAAGTATTTTAAATACTCTTTTCTTAAAGCAAACAAGGTTGTCTCATCTGCATATTGCAGGTTAATGAGTCTTCCTTCAAATGTCAGGGCCTTTGATGCCATATATCTTGATGCCATATTCTTCTTCATATAACATAGCTTCTGGGATTATTTACTCAGCATACAGATTGAATAAGTATGCTCAAAGGATACAACCCTGGCATACATGTTTCTTGATTCAGTATCCCTTGTTCCATTCTAAATACCTTAATCTATGTATAGATTCCTCATGAGCATAATTACATGTTCTGAAATACCCATTCTTCATAACGTTATCCATAGTTTGTCATGATCCACACAGTCAAAAGCCTTTCATAGTCAATAAAGCACAAGTTAACATCTTTCAAGAGCAAAGACGTCAGTTTGAGGACTAAGATGTTCCTGACCCAAGTCATGGTATTTTCAATAGCCTCCTATTCATGTGAAAGTTGGACAATAAATAAGGAAGACTGCAGAAATTGATACATTTTAGCTATGGTTTTGAAGAAGAATATTAAAAGTACCATGGACTACCAGAAGAACAAACAAATCTGTGTTGGAAGAAGTACAGCCAGAATGTTCCTTAGAAGCCAAGATGACCAGACTTCATCTCTCATACTTCAGCAAAAAAGAGGGAGACCCCTCTGATGAGATAGATCGCCACAGTGGCAGCAGCAATGGGCTCAAACTTAACAATGATTGTGAGGTTGGTGCAAGACGGGGCAGTATTTTGTTCTGTTGTACATAGGGTCGCTAAGGGTCAGAATCAAATCGATGGGACTAACACCACCAGCAATAACAAACGTCTTGCTGGTATTCTCTGCTTTCAGCCAAGATCCATCTGGTGCCAACAATGATAGCCCTTGCTCCAAGTCCTCTTCTGAATCTAGCTTGGATTTCTGGCAGCTCCCTGTCAATGTACTGTTGCAACTACTTTTGGATTATCTTCAGCAACATTTTACTTGCACGTAATATTAATGATATTGTTTAATATACTGATTATACAAATATGGATCTCTTCTAATTGGTTGGCCAGGTAATTGTCTCCCAAATTTTCTGGCGTATAGAAGTGAGAGCTTCCAGCGCTGCATTAGTTTTTTGAAAGATTTCACTTTGAATTCTGTCAGTTCCTGGACCCTTGCTTTTTGCCAATGCCTCCAGTACAGCCTGGACTTCTTCCTTCAAAACCATCAGTTCTTAGTCATATACTATCTCTTGAAATGGTTGAACATCATATATTTCTTTTTGGTACAGTGACTATGCATTCTTCCATCGTTTTTTAAAATACTTTCTTCATCATTCAATATTTTGCCCATACAATCCTTCAATATTACAAGTCGAGGCTTGAATGCTTTCTTCAGTTCTTTCAGCTTGAGAAATGGTGAATGTGTGCTTCTCTTTGGTTTTTCTCTCTCCAGATTTTACACATTTCATTATAATACTTTGATCTGCCCTTTGAAAGTTTCTGTTCAGCTCTTTTAATTCTTGGTTTCTTCTTTTCACTTTAGCTTTTCTATGCTCAAGAGCAAGTTTCAGTCTCTTCTAGCATCCATATTTGTCTTTTCTTTCTTTCCCGTCTTTTAAATGACCTTTTACTTTCTTCTTGTATAGTTCAGCTCATCTTGTATAGTTCAGTTCATCTCATCTTTGTCATTAACATGTAATACATTGAATCTGTTCTTGAGATGGCCTCTAAATTCAGATGGAACATACTCAAAGTCATATTTTGGCTCTCATGGACTTGTTTTCATTTTCTTCAGCTTTAGCCTGAACTTGCTTATAAGCAATTGATGGTCTTTTTCAGTCTGCAGCCGGCCTTGTTTTTACTAATGAGATTGAGTTTTTCAACCATCTTTTCCCACAGATGTAGTCAATTTGATTCCTATGTATTCCATTTGTTGAGGCCCATGAACCTTTTGTGTTGTTTGAAAAGGGTACTTGGCAATGAATAAGTCATTGGTCTCACAAAATTCTATCCTGCGATCTCCAACATCATTTCTATCACCAAGGCCATATTTTCCAATTACTTACCATTCCTCTTTATTTCCAATCTGTGCATCATAATCACCAGGAATTATCAATGTATCTTGATTGCATGTTTGATCCATTTCTGACTAAAGAAATTGATAGACTTCCTTAATTTCATCATCACTGTTCTTAGTGGTTGGTGTGTAAATTTACATAATAGTGGTATTAGTTGGTCTTCCTTGCAGGCATATAGATATGATCCTATAGGCAGTATTACACTTCAAACTTGCACTTGAAAACTTTTTGATGATGAATATGACACCATTCTTCTTCAATTTGATGTTCCTAGTATAGTAAACCTTATGCTTGTTGGATACAAAATGGCTAATACCAGTCCATTTCAGCTCAGAAATGCTTAGGATATTGATGTATATGTGTTCCGTTTCATTTTGATGTGTTCCATTTCATTTTGATCCGTGTTGGAAGAAGTGCAGCTAGAGTGCTCCTTGAGGCCAGGATGGCCAAACTTTGTCTCTCATACTTTGGACATATTGTCAGGAGTGACCAGTCGCTGGAGAAGGATATCATGTTTGGTAAGATGGAGGGTCAGAGAAAAAGAGGAAGACCCCCAACGAGATGGATTGGCCAGGTAGCAGAATCGATGGACTCAAGTGTGGCAACAGTAGTGAGGTTGGCCCAGGATCGGGCAGTGTTTCATTCTGCTGTGCATAAGGTCGTTATGAGTCGGTACCAACTTGAATGGCACCTAACAACAACAACATAAACTATTATAATTACAACAATGTGATGATATTGGCACCGGCTGGGTAACTAAAACAACGTAAGAGGATAGGGAGGCAGAACCAGACTCACACATATAAGGGGTTGTCAACAAAGTTTGTGGAAAATTGGAATTTAACCATACTGGAATATTTCCATGGACTTCCTGAAGTCCCCTCTTATATGAAAACTGATAAATACATATCAGAGGTGGTATTGCAGGCTACTGGGCAAGTGAGAGTCAATTCAATAAATGATACAGAAACACATTGTCCATGTGAAAAGAATTAAACTGGATCCTCACCTCACATCACATGAAGAAATCAATTTCAGGTGGTTGAGAGATTGCACTGTAAAGGAAACACTTTAAAACTTTTCAAAAGGAAATATAGATTATCTTTATGGCCTTGAATAAGGATAGGGAAGACCCAAAAAGCACTGGTCATTAAGATAACAGACTGACAAATTTGACTGCATTACAATTATAAATCCCTATACATCAGGATATATCATCAAAATAAAGTATGAAAGAAAGAAAGAAGGTAGATTGGAAGGAAGGAGAAATTGCAAACTTAGAGAAGCATGGTATCTAAAACACACACATACATACAACTGTAAAAGTCGATATGAAAAGACCAACTCAATAGAAAAATGGACAAAAAATCACAAATAGGCTTTTTTTTTTTTTTTCAGAAAAAGAAATTCAGCTGGAAATAGACAAAAGAAAGATGCTCATCCTCATTAGCAATTTAGTAAAGTAAATTAAGATCACTGTGCATCATTTTATTCTTACGGTTCCTGTTGTTAAATGTCGTTGAGTCCGTTCCGACTCATAGCAACTCTGCATAAGGTTTCCTAGGAGCGTCTGGTGAGTTTGCACCCACCTTGGGGTCGAGTGCTTACAGCTCCATGCTCATTAGATAGTCACAAATTAAGATGTCCGACATGAATATTTGGCATTTGCAGGTGTTCCCTACAGGAGGTGTTCCCTAGCGGTGGTGTGTGGTTGGGAATTGGGTTGGAATCTATTTATTGGCTTCAATCTCACTCTGAAGGAGGTTGTTGTTGTTGTTATGTGCCGTGGAGTCGGTTCCGACTCATAGCGACCCTGTACAGGGTTTCCAACGCTGTAAATCTTTACAGGAGCAGAAAGCCTCATCTTTCTCCCGCAGAACAGGAGGAGGAGTCTGGTAATCCATAAACCGTGGGGGAGGGGGAGGGGACACCAAGGTTCTGAAATGCACTGTGAAGAACACCCCCCATAACCGCCTCCCATCCGTCAGTATCGGTTCGTGTCACTGCTCTCCACCAATCGTGAGTGAAAGAAAGAATGAGTGAGCTCTTTGAATGAATGTCTTTAACTCATCACACACCCAGATCCCACTCCCATAGACTCTTGGCCCTGCACCAGGCTCCGAGGAAGAGCTCAGTTACTGTCCTCTCCGAAAGGATCTGACTTCCCCTGTCCTTTCCCAGGATTAGCCTTCTCTAATTACTCACTGCCCCTTTCTCCCGCTTTGATACTATTTAAACAAGTCCAGGGGACGGATGCCGCAGTCCTGGCGGCTCTGAGTGTGCAGGGAGAAGATAAGAATGGAGATGGGACCATGTAATAAAAAAGGGATGTTTCACCAGGAACTTGGAAGCCTCCAGCTCTCTGCCGGGTAGCCCCTAAGCAGTGGAAGCCCCTGAATTCTGCGCGGTCCTGAAGCCGGGCTAGGCGAAGGTCAAACTCACCGGAGAAAGAACCTTCTCGCTCGCCCCCTCGGGGAGGTGCCTTGCAGGTCGGGAAGCTGCGGGGCTACTGCTGCTGGTGGTCTGGCCCCCGCCGGTGTCCCAGGCTCTCCCGGCCGCCAGGTGGCGCTGCAGGGAGCCGCTCTCGCGTCAGCTGGCCAGCCTCCTCCCGCTCAGCCAGATTCAGCTCGACGGCATGTTAGGCATCTCATTCCGGGTGGGTTCAGCAGAAGCCGCGCCGGGTCGGGTGGGCGCAAGGGAGGAGGATTCAGGTACGGGGCCGCACCGAGGCGGCCTGGAGCAGGGAAAGTCTGGCCGGCCGTCGGGAGTCGGGATGGGTGCGGGGACCGAGGGCAGAGATCCTGAAGAGGGCCCAGAAGGGCAAGGGCGGGGAGTAGGGCACAGACCCCGCTAGGCTGGGCTGGGAGTGGAGAATAAGGATCCCCTCGACTTCACCGCATGTAACCACCACCACCACCACCACCTCTCTTCCACTGGCTTTAAGAGAAGGCAGAGCAAATTTTCCAGAATCTTTCCTAGATGTGACTAGGGTCGGGAATTAGCCTAGAGGAACTGAGTGTTTGGTGCTTAGGGGACTAAAGCCTGGAAGCTGGCCGAGCCTCTGACTGGTGAATGTCCAAGCCTCCTTCGCCTGCTCTGAGAGTGTTGATGTGCACGGAGACGCTAAGGTCACCCGGAATAAGAACTACTCACCCCACTCCTAACCTAGCCAGGCCTGAGTTGGGAATTGGGAGAGCTGAGCCCATTCATCCCCAGGCAGCCTTGGTAGGATGCATTGTCCTTGGTAGGATGCATTGTCCAGCTCACAGCCCTCCGTTCCAGTTCTGTCCTTGGGGGCTACGGTATCCTTTCTAAATTGGGTATTTAAAAGCCATGATAATCAGAGCAAAAACTGACCTTCATCCCTTCCGTAGCAAGGAGGGGATGGATTCTCTTACATGTGGTCCAGATGAAAGCAGACAGGCTGAAGGGGACCTGGTGATCTTCATACCATCTGCCTAGTCAGGTGCCTGGCATGGTTCACAGGGCCTGAACTTTCTCCACCTCTGATCAGGCTTACTTGTTTTCTCTTTTAGGACCTTTCTTTCTGCCTAGTTTCTTTCAGGCATAGTTCAGCTTCTTCTAATAACTTGGGTGCCCTGCTGATGAGTAGGCAAGAGCTGAGCTGCTCTGTTCACATTGTGTCTGGTTAGGACCCATCCCTTCTCCTCGCCATCACTGTTATTGGGCTGACGGTGCTCATGTTGGCCTTGAAGACCAAGAACTCAAGGAGAAGGAAGGTTGTCACCTTACAGGACCCTGAAACCAAGTACCCTCTGCCCTTGATTGAGAAAGAGGTAATGGTCTACCCTGTCCCTTGTCAGTGGGTGAGAAGAGTCTTGGGGTCTGTACTGGCTGACAGGAGGGCAGTTAGACATTTCATGGCCTCAAGTTTGCTCCCCACTCCTTTTGTTTGTGTTTACTGGGATAGTAGTCCTGGTGTGGCGCTGTGGGTTAATGCGCCAGACTGCAAAGCCGTTCGAACTGCAAGGTTGGTGGTTCAAGCTCACCAGCTGCTCCTCGGAATCCCTATACAGGGTCGTTATGAGTCAGAACCAACTCAATGGCACTTACAACAACAACAACCAAATTAAACTCCTTCCCCAGGCATCGGATGGCCCAGCATGGCTTCTAGAAAGCTAACTGAATCTATCTCTGAACTTTCTGTTTCAACAGCAAATCAACCACAACACCCGGAGGTTCCGCTTTGGCCTGCCCTCGACAGCCCATGTCTTAGGGATCCCTGTAGGTGAGTGAGGTTTGGTGCCGTCATCAGCATTGGGTCTTGCAGGGCTAGGTTCTCTATTCCCAGCAGAAACACAGCTAGAACCATAAGAGTTCAAGGGGCTGAGAAGATGGGCTTGGAGGTAGTATATTCCCTTTGCTCATGGTTCAGTTTGGCCCACACAAAAGGGATACCTCAGTGAACATAGAGTCAGAAATGAGGCTAGTGCCAGAAGGTCAAATATCTTATCCTGAAATGTGAAGCAAAAATCAAAATTGTAAAAACCAGGTTTAGAGGTTGGATAGAGACTGGAGGAACTCCTGCATCACCCTTCAGGTCTGGACCTGGACGCACCCTTGTGGCTGAATTTTCAGCCACACAATAGACAGATCTATTAAGTAAGCAGTAACACCAGGATGTCTTTTTGTTAAATACCTTGAGTCAGTTCTGAGCCTTAGCGATCCTGTATAGTGTTTCAGAGACTTTTTAAGTCTTTGCTGAAACAGAAAGCCTCTCATCTTTCTCCCTCAGAGTGTCTGGCGGGCTCAATCCATGGACCTTGAGGTTTGCAAGCTGTTACTCCAATGGAGGTGGTGGTTGTTAAGTGCCACTGAGTTGATTTCGACTCATAGTGATCCCTGTATAGGATTTCTGAGGAGCGGGCACTTGTGGTTCAAACTGAACTTGCAGTCAGTGCATTAACCTGCAGACCCACACCAGGACTCCCCAAGAGAGGTAGACACTCCTTAAAATAATCAACTATTTGAGATCAAAGGCCAGCATTTGCCCAAGGACAATGTTCAGAAGGCAAGAAGGGGTAGGAAAGGTGAAGGGATGGAAACACAGGGAGGAAGTAGGATAAGTGATGTTACATTGTAGGGATTGTAATCAAGGACATGAAACAAAATGTGTATTGAGTGTTGAATGAAGAACTGATGTGTTCTGTAAACCTTCATCCAATTCACAATAAAAAGTTAAAAACAACACCACCAACAACAACTCATCCCAGGCTTCTGGCTGCGTGACCTTAGGCAAGTCCCTCAACCGCACTGAGCCTCAGTCTATGAAAGGCAGTTTCTCAGGCCCTTGGGCTGTTGTAAAGGGAAAGTGATAGATGGATGTAAAATTTTAGAAATTAAAACATTCTGTGCACACAGTAGGTGTCTTTGTTTCTTGGTGCTGCTGTAATCACAAGTACACAAGTACGTGCCTTCGAAGAACAGATTTATTATCTTGCGGTCTGGAGGCTAAGAGCCAGGTGTCTTTTCCCTACCTACCATATGGTTTCTCTGCAGGGACCCTAGACCCATAGTAGGAGGAGAGCCGTTGTGGAAACTAAGCCTAGCAATCTTAGAGTTCTGACTTACCCTGTTTCTAGTTTGTAGCACCACCAGATGACTGAAATCAGTCTTGTTAAATGTTGTCAAGTTGGTTTCGACTTGTAGCGACCATATATAGGGTTTCCAAGGACCAGCTGGTGGGTTTGAACCACCAACCTTGTGGTTAGCAGACCAGTGCTTATCCTACAGTGCCAGTCTTTGTAAGGTAAAAATAAATAAATAAACACCTCTGTGGCACTGTAAGATAAATGCTAGACCGCCAAGTCAGTTTGAACTGCAAGGTTGTCAGTTCAAACTCACCAGCCACTCCTTGGAAACCCTATACAAGGTTGCTATGTGTCTGAACTGACTCAACAGCACTTAGAGATCCTAATCCGTGACCTACTTGGATAAGATGAAACCTTGACCTCACCTACATAAGTTGAAGTCACACAGCAGGCTGCCAGCTTCGGCCTTGAGCCTCCTTACTGCTTCCTTTCTGCCTCTGCATCCACAGAGCTCAGTGTCAGGTGCCTTCCAGAACTCTGTCTGGCCTGTGGGGCCAGCAATGTTGGAAAGAAGCTTAAAAAAGTGAAAAACTCCAAGAAACTGAATTTCTTAGCACCTGCCTTCACCCATTTTCTGGGTAGTCCTGGTGTAGTGGTGCTGGTGTGCCATCAAGTTGATTCTGATTCGTAGCAACCCTGTACAGGCTTTCTAAGATTTTATGGAACAGAAAGCCTCTTACATTTTTCTCCTGCAGAGCGTCTGGTGGATTTAAACTGCTGACCTTGCAGTTAGCAGCTTAATGTATAACCCACCTAGTGTGTTGTTGTTAGGTACATGAGTCGATGCCGACTAATGCACAACTTCCTGACCTTATGCACAACAAAACGAACACTCCCCAGTCCTGTACCGTCTTCACAAACGTTAAGCTTAAGCCCATTGCTGCTGCTACTATGCCAATCCATCTTGTTGGGAGTCTTCCTCCTTTTCATTGACTCTCCACTTTACCAAGCATGATGTCCTTCTCCAGGGATTGATCCCTTCTGATAATACCTCTGATATATGAGAGACAAAGTCTCGCCATCCTGGCTTCCACAGAGCATTCTGGTTGTAGTTCTCCCAGCAGTCCTTGATACTTTTAATATTCTTCTCCAACACCATAACTCAAATGCAGCAAGTCTTCCATGGGTTTCCTTATTCACTGTCTAACTTTCATATGCATATGAAGCTATTACAAATACCATAGCTTGGATCCAGTGCACCTAAGTCCTCAGATTGAAATCTTTGCTGTTGAACACTTCAAAGAGGACTTGTGTAGCATATTTGCCTAATGCAATACATAGTATGATTTATTGACTGTTGCTTCAATGAGTATTGATTGTGGATCCAAGCAAAATGAACTCTTAGACAACTTCAATCTTTTCTCCATTTATCATCATGTTATTTTTTTAGTCCAGTATTGAGTTTTGTTTTCTTTACATTGAGGTGCAACCCATCCTGAATACTGTGGTCCTTGATCTTCACCAGTTAGTATTGTAAGTCTTCTTCACTTTCAGCCAGCAAGCTTGTATCATCTGCACATTGCGGGTTGGTGGTAGTCTTCCTCCAACCCTAATGCCATGTTCTTCTTCATTGAATCCAGCTTCTCAGATTATTTACTCAGCATACAAAGTGAATAAATATTTTTAATTATTATTATTATTAAATATTATTGTATAATTATTATTAACCATATTTATTCACTTTTATATAAATTCTCTGTAATGTTGTCCATTAGCTTGTCATGATCCACACAGTCCAAAGCCTTTGTATAGTCAATAAAGCACAGAGAACCATCTTTCTGGTATTTGCTTTTTTCAGCCAAGATCCATCTGATGTCAGCAATGATAGCCCTCATTCCATATCCTCATCTGAATCTAGCTTGAACCTCTGGCTAACTGCTATTTTTAAATTATCTTTAGCAAGATTTTACTTGCATGTAATAGTAATGATATTGTCCAATGATTTCCGTATTCTGTAGGGTCACCTCTCTTTGGAATGGACACTAGTAGGAATCTCTTCCAATCACTTGTCTTGGTAGCTGTCTTCTAAATTTCATGGCATAAATGAGTGAGTGCCTCCCGTGCTGTGTCAGTGTGTTGAAAGATTTCAATTTGTATTGTATCGATTCCCAGAGCCTTGTTCTTTGCCAATGCCTTCAGTGCACCTTGGGCTTCTTCCTTCAGTACCACTGACTCTTGATCATGTGCTACCTCTTGAAAAGGTTATTGTTTCTTTCTTTTTGGTACAATACTGTTTATTCCTTCCATCATTTTTTGGTGTTTTCTGCATCATTCATTTTTTCCTCGTAGAATCTTTCCATTTTGAAAGTCAAGACTTGAAGTTTTTCTTCAGTTCTTTCATCTTGTGAAATGCTGAGTATGTTTTCTAACTCCAGGCCTTTGCACATTTCATTATAATACTTGACTTTGTCTTCTTGAGTGGCCCTTTGGAGTTTTCTCTTCAGCTCTTTTACTTCCTCATTTCTTCCATTTTCTTTAGAGAATCTTCTGACATCCATTTTGGTCTCTGTCTCCTTTTTGTCTTAATGCCATTTTGCCTTCTTCCTATATGATGTTCTTGATGTCACCTCACAACTCTTTAAGTCTTCAGTCCTTAGTGTCTAATATATCAAATCTGTTTTTGAGATCATCTGTAAATTCTGGTGGGATATGTTTAAAGTTAAATTTTGGCTCCCATAGACTTGTTTTAATTTTTTCAGCCTGAACGTGCATATAAGCAATTGATTGTCTTTTCCACAGCCTGCCCCTGACCTTGTTTTGGTTGATGATATTTTTGTTGATGGTATGGAGCTTTTCCATTGTATCTTTCCACAAATGTAGTCAATTTTATTTCTATGTATGCCATCTGGTAAAGTCCATGTGTATAGTCATTTTTTATGCTGTTTAACAAAGATATTTGCAATGCATAAATCAATAGTCTTGAAATATTCTACATGTAATCTCTACCATCATTTCTGTCACCAAGGCCATACTTTCCAACTACTTATCCCTCCTCTTTGTTGCCAACCTTTGCATTCCAATCATCAGTAATTATCAGTACATCTTTATTTCATGTTTGATCAATTTCAAACTGAAGAAGATGGTAGAATTCTTCAATTTCATTATCATTGACTTTTAGTCATTGGTGGGAAACTTCAATAATAGTGGTATTATTCGATCTTCCTTTGTAGGCACTTGGATATTATCCTATCACTGGCAGCATTATGCTTCAAGATAGATCTTGACATGTTCTTTTTGATGATGTATATGACACCATTCTTCTTAAATTTGTCATTCCTGGCATAGTAAACCATACAATTGTCAGATTTTAAATGGCCCGTATCAGTCTAGGATATTGATCTTTATGCATTCCATTTTTGACAGCTCCTATTTTCCTTGAGTCATACTTCTTACATTCCATGTTCTGATAATTAATGGATGTTTTCAGCTGCTTCTCTTCATTTTGAATTGTACCCCATGAGTAAATGAAGGTCCTGAAAGCTTTATTTGTGACATCACTGTCAATTCTATTTTGAGGAGGCAGCTCTTCCCCAGTTGTATTTTGAGTGCCTTCCAACCTGAGGATCTGGCATCTTCCAGCACGATAGCTGACAGTATTCTGGTGCTATTCATAATGTTTCAATATCCAATATTCTGGTGCTATTTAACAGTGTTCTGTTGCTGTTCATAAGGTTTTCAGTGGCTAAACATTCAGAAGTAGACCACCTTTCTTCCTAGTTGTAGTTTGGAAGTTCAGCTGAAACCTGTCCACCATGGGTGTATCCTGCTGGTATTTAAAATACTGGTAACCTACCTTCCAGCATCACACAGAAACCACCACAGTATGACAAACTGTCCGATGAGTAGTGGAACCCACCTGGTGTAGGCACTGCAAAAATAGTGGAACACGGTATGTTAGAAACTTCTGGGAATCTCCTATGAAGGCTCAGAGATGGGGCCTGAGGGACCAGCCAATGCAATCCATTTTCTTTAGGTACACAGCCAGGCCAAGTCCAGGTTGAATGCACCAGGACTCTCTGCACGTGTCCAGTTTCTGAGGCACGTAATCCTGGGTATCCCTGGTGGCCAGCCAGGTCATTGAGCCTTTCTTTTCTTCACCCAGAGGATTTGTGCCTCAGGCTCCAGGACCTCCTCCAAGACTGGCTTTTTCACCTGACTCAACTTGTAGGACCTGTACTTCTATAGCCCCCTCCTCTTTCTGTCCTTCCTGTAGTCTTCCTTCTTGTCTGTCTCTGCCAATATATCTTTTTGCATATCTGCTCCATTTACTTTAGTCAATTTCCTGCCTTTACAGTTTCTAATTTCTCAGAAACTCTAACAGGGAGCTTCTCTTGCCTCTAGCTCATATCATCTCTTGACAACTGCTTTTGCCCTTCCTGTGGAGTCCTGGTGTGGTGCTGTAGGATAAGCAGTAAACTGCTAACTACAAGGTCAGTGGCTCAAACCCACCAGCTGCTCTTTGGAAACCATATACAGGATTGCTATGAGTTGGAACCAACTCGATGGAACCACCTAACAACATTAATGACATTCGTCACTGAAGTCTCCAGTTTAGATGAATGGAATTTTTAGTCATAGGTGTGCGGTTACACCTGAATCAGTCACTTCTGCCTTGCAGAGTTTAAAACTTCACTGCTGCTCTACAACTGTGCCATGAACCAGGAAGACAGTGCTTTTGCTAGAACTCTGGTCCATGGCTATTCAAATCTGGTAGCTCTGTAATATCTATGATGCCAGACCCATGGTTTATTCATAGACCTCAATGATATATCTGGTTTAAGAAATGAGTTTGTTAAGGCAATATAGTTTATTTCAATAAACATTCTTTCCTATAATTTTTAATATATAGCCTTCCAATTTAATTTGGCTATTCTTGCTCCACAAAGCACTTTAACACAATAAGCACACATTGACAGTAGGCTCCCTGTACCCGGAACTCACAATTACATTATTTGTGTTGTTAAGTGCCATTGAGTCAGTTCCTACTCTTAGCGACCCTTTATAGGGTTCCTGAGGAGCAGCTGATGAGCTTGAACTACCAATCTTGTGGTTCAAACCGACCTTGCAGTCCAGCACATTATCGTGCAGCACCACACCAGGACTCCTAATTACACTATGATTGAGGGATAATGGGCAGAACATCGTATTGGGCAAATGAAGAAACTAAGACCCAGAATGGTGAAGTGACTTGCTCAGGGTAGTGATGAGGGCAAGTATGGACATCCTGAATCTGGGCTCCTTCCCTTGGTGATCCACCCCTTCTAACCATGCACTATGCACTCACCTCACTGAAGTTCAGCACGTATGGGATTTCTACACCCTCTTTAGGCTGACCATGCTCAGACTTACATTTGAGTCCTCTTCTATAGGTAATCATGTCCATTTTTTGGCTAAAATTGATGATGATTTGGTGATCAGGGCTTACACCCCTGTCTCCAGTGATGATGACCAAGGCTTTGTGGACTTCATTATAAAGGTAAATGATGGGAACCAATATCTCAGCTGATTTAAACTCATGGAGCCTGTTGAGAACTAAAGGCGATGGAGTGGAGGGGCAGCTTCTTTTCTGAGGGACACATGTGGGACACATGCCCTAGACTGGATTTTCCTGCAGTATCATTTAACACTGGAGCTACAATTAGCCTAGAGGTGTCTTCAAGGATTGCTTGCATCAACTGGGAGCACCGAAGACTTTCTAGACAGAATTTCTAGTGGCAGATGGAATTTTGAGTTGTGTGGCGGTGACCTCACATCTGGGGATTTGAAAACCATGCGATTTTGTCTTTCAGATCTACTTCAAAAATGTACACCCTAAGTATCCTGAAGGAGGGAAGATGACTCAATACTTGGAGAATATGAAAATAGGGGACACTATGCTTTTTCGAGGGCCAACGGGGTGCCTGGTCTACCATGGTCTAGGTATTGGGGGCGCTCACATTGAGTCTCCATCTGTATGGGAGAAGATTTCCTGGGGTGGTTCCATTGATCTAGAAAACTTTTTTGATTTGAATCTTTTCCTTAAAGACCTAAAGTCTTCAGTCTTCCATTCATTCATTCATACACAAATTAATTTACAACCACACCTATCATTCATTCACACATTCACTTCCTAAAATTGTAAGCTTCATTAAAGCCTGGGGCTGATTTTGTGTCTCCTTATCACTGTATGTCCAGCACAATGCCTGACACATAAGAGGCATCTAATAGTACTGGAAAATGATGGCTGTGTGGGTTCCACATTCATGTACTTACTCACTGCTGCAGGTATGTGAGAGTGCTCTGTGAGGCTCGTAGTAACTTCAGCTTGCCTTTTAAGAAAAAGGCTAGTGATTCTGAGGAGACCCCACTCTGTGCCCCAGTGCATTGGGAGGCTGAGGAAGCCTCCCTGGCCTGCTTCTGTGGCTTACAATGGTGCAGTCAATCCCTATCGTGGGCGTGACTCCCAGAGAGCCCAGTGATCTTTTGCAGGCTCTCAGACAGCGCTACAGAAGCCAGAAACATCTTCTTTGTTTCCAGGGAATTTTGCAGTCAGACCAGACCTAAAAAGTGAACCTGAAAAAAAACGGGTCCGTCACCTGGGAATGATTGCTGGGGGCACAGGTAAGAGGCATCATCCACAGGGTGAGTCCTGAGACCTTTTTCACGTTGGTGTCACCTGACCCTAGAGATTTCTCCATGTCTGTTGTGGGAAGGAACTCATGGTCAGGGACAGGCCACAGAGCTGACTCTTTATACCCCTCAACCAACATGGCAGCTGTTGGGGAGCCATCTGAGTCTCTCAAGTGAAGCTAGGGAGCATAACTAAGCTGGGCAGGACCATCCATGGTCCCCTGCAAGGGCTCCTGGATTCAGTTGAAATCTGACTGTTGAGCTGAACACCTGAAAGAAGAGACTGCACTGTTTAAGGAGCACCTATGATGTGCCTAGCACTATAGTAGGCACGTTTTAAATGATCACATGTCCTCATTCCATTTTACAGATGAAGAAGCAGAACAGCTCAGACAGGTAAATGACTCACCCCAAGGCACAGTTAGGGGCTTCGCCATCCTGCTTTCCATCTTGCTATGTTAAAATGAGGCCGAGCTTTGGATTTATTATTGCTTCAGAAGGGAAAAACCAAAATGCAGAACTGTTTCCCACTTTGAATTTTGGGGTCCACACTGAGAAAAGTGTAAGTGACCCACAGGCACATGCCAGCTTCCTCTCGCCTGCCCACTGTGTTCCAGGTATTACGCCCATGCTGCAGCTCATTCGCAACATCACCAAGAACCCTCGGGACAAGACTGAGATGGCCCTCATCTTTGCCAACCAGGTCAGTCCTGCTGAATCCGCCTTGAGCTGACAGTGAGTGAGCTCCTGCTAACTGGGGCCCATGGCTGTGGGGGTGCCCAGTGGGAGCTATGCGAGAAGCTGAGTTCAGGCCCACTTGGGTTTTGTTTAGTTTTATTTTAACTCTTCCATTACTCCAGCCAACCCTGAGTACTATTTCTTTCTTAATAGATAGATAGATAGATAGATAGATAGATAGATAGATAGATAGATAGATAGATAGATTTTTTTCCACTATAAAATCATCAATGTCCTTAGTAGAAATTCTGGAAAATATGGAACATAAGAAAATATGTCATTTTATCCCTGATAAATTCTTACATATTTTCCAGTCTTCTTTCTGTGTATGCTGTATATTGACAGTCACATATCACCATTACCTCAGAGGACTTTTTTTCTCATTAAAACTCTTTACAAATGAGTGTATAGCAAGTTGCAACATCATTTACTAAAGTATTTTCTTACATTCAGGTGGTTTTCAGTTTTCACAATTGTAACTGATACAGTGATAATGTTGTCCTTAGGCTTGATCACTTTTAGTATCTCCAAAATGGGATTAACTGGGACAGGAATTCTGAAGCATTTGAATGAACTCTAGATCTTCTGTGCAGCATCTCTGAGCCTATGACACCTTACTTCTGACTTTGGCTCCTTTTTCCCTAACTGAGGCTTCTAACTTTGTTTTCCTCTTCCCATATCTTCAGTCCTATTCTACTCTATCATTATTTTAGTCTATTACATTCGCTGCAAAAGATCCTGTGGATGCACAAAGCATATTGGGTTTCATGTGCCAGGTGGGTTGGTCAGGACTTCCGAATGAAGCCAGTCTGGCCTGTGTCATAACTCCAGCTGGCCGGCAGTCATTCCTGCTCTGTGGGAACTGTTTACCCTTCAGTCCCACATCCACGGGTGAGAAGGTTCTATAGAACAGCAGCAGCTGTCCCTGAGTCTTTCGTAGGCACTCAAGCTACAATGGCAACTTGGGCAAGTGTGTGCTGATTGATCTGCTCAGTGTGGGGAACAAGCAGGGTATCCCTGGAAGATGTTCCTAACGTTGCTTCTTTTCTAGACAGAGGAAGATATCTTGGCGAGAGTGGAGCTTGAAGAGATTACCAAAACTCATTCAGATCAATTCAAGCTGTGGTACACCCTGGACAGGCCTCCCAGTGGTATGAGCTCACTAGTCCCCAACCCTTGACCTGTCTCAGGGGCTGGACCCTATTTTTTCTTGTTTTTATGACTAGACTTGGGATCTGAAGCCTGGGGCTCTGCCTCCACATGGGGGTAAATGTAGGAACTGAGAGACAGTTTAGGTTATCTGTTTCTGAAGGCAATTCAGACCAGCTGTCTGTTATCCCAGCCGTACCACACACACTGCATTCATGTGCAGACAGGGCCACTGGGCCACACTTCATGTCCACACACTACTGCACATGATGTGCTAATCTACACAGTATCTAGAATGGGCACTCTTCCTTCCCCACCCACATCACTGCTCACGGAGGCTCACCTTCACCACCCACTTCACCTGGACAGCAACCCTCAAACACTGATTCCCAGCCAGCCACTGCAGCCCCAGCAAGCACCCAGCAACCATGGTACCCGCCCCATTCCCACACAGCCCCCTCTTCAGATGCATCTCTCCCATACTGCAGCGACTGGTACCAGTCCCGTCAAACAGCTCATTGCTCAACCAAAGGGGTCACCTGGCCGATCTGTCTATAAATCACACACACCTTAGTACATCCCACCTCTGTGTCGTGTTCTCCATCCTCACCAATGCTTCCAGGGGTCTGAGTCCCAGCAGGTGAGCCTGGGATCTGCGTAAGTACTGCAGAGGGCTGCCAGGGATCCAAGTCCTCTACTCTCAAGCTTCTTCAGGGCCAGTAAGTAGAGCAGACTCATAAGCCTTGTAGAACAGCCTTGCCTCTTCCTGTCTGGCTTTAGGGGAAGGAGGACTCACCCTGCTGCCCCCACAGCCCTTTACTGCTTCTGCTTGATTTTAGGCTGGAGGTATGACTCAGGCCTCATTACTGCCAACATGGTCAAGGAGTATCTCCCTCCTCCTGGGGAGGCCACACTCATCCTGGTGTGTGGCCCACCCCTCATGATCCAGCTAGTTGTTCACCCGAACCTGGAGAAACTGGGCTATTCCAAGGACATGATTTTCACCTACTAACACATCCCATTTTTAACCAATTTGCCTGGTCCCTTTTACCTGCTTCAAAGTGAGTTCGGTTGTAGCATGCTGAACTGCAGTGTTTTCCAAAGGGCCTCCTAATGTACATTTGGGCATGCACACTGGTACCCATCTCTCTTATGTGTGGGTCTAAGAAGGTGGACTCAAGGGTTGGAGACAAGGTGGCTTCTGAGGACTCCTTCCTTGGGGAGGCTTGAAGAAGTTCCATTTCAGTACCTTTTAAAGAGGTTTGGTGAAATAAACTTACGTACAAAGCAAATAGCCCCTGAGCCTTGGCCTGGCCTGCATGTGAGTGGCTTCTGCATTATCCATGCCAGGGGGGTAGGGTGGGGGTGGTCAGAATTGGTAAATGTGCCAAAGAATTAAACAAACAAAACAAACACCCTAGTGAGGTCACAGCCAACTCCCAGTAACCTCTCCAAAGTGTTGTATGTTTTTAAGATCCGGCACCCCCAGGTAGACTCTTCCTTTTCTGGAGGGAGCCTGGAAATGGGAATAGTATTAAAACACATACATTAAGGCACTAGGAAACCCAAGGGGAAAGGAGCTCTGGTAGCATAGTGGTTACGAGTCGGGCTGTGAACCACAAGGTCAGCAGTTTGAAACTACCAGCAGTTCTGCAGGAGAAAGATGAGGCATTCTGTTCCCGTAAAGATTCCCAGCCTCGGAAACCCTGTACAGGGTCGCTATGAGTTGCAACTGACTCCACGGTACTTAACAACAACAAACCCAAGGGGAAGGGAGCTCCAGGGATCCTTCCTAGACTCCCTGAGTTTTGAATATAAAATGGAGGTAAACAGGGTATGCACATTATGTGTTGCTGTATGATAAGCATTGAACTAATTGCAAGGTTGGCAGTTCAAACCCACCAGCTGTTCTTCGGAAATCCTATACAGAGTTGCAACAAAAACAAATGCTAGGCACTGAGGTAAGGCTGTAGATGGTGGTTACACACAGAACTGTGCAACTTGCAATGTTAGGTTCCAGAAGGTTCCTTAAATCCTTTATCATGCTAAGCCTAAATGATACACATGACCACTATCGTCATCTGTTGTGCGTAGACAAGATGATACTTTTGCTCTAGTATGTTACCGGGGGGTGG